AATGAGATAAGGTGGGAATAACCCATGTCAACTCTTGCCGTTTTTCTAGAAAGGTCTTTTCTCCCCCTAACGACAGGAAGACTATCTTATCAAAGGGACAATCAGCAAAACGAGTTGTAAACATATCTGTAGACATCAAAATTTCGGTGAAATGAATGTTGACCAATAATTAAAATTTCAACGTTCACGTGTCACATAAATTTTACATGTAGCGTGTGATTCAACGAAAAATCGAAATAAATTGGAAAAATCATCAAATATGACACGTGTCAATACCTGGCAGAAATGATTTATTTCATCTGATTATTTAAATCCAAAAATCAAGTTTTGGAATTCTATAAATAGGAGGCCAAGGCATTCATTTTAAAAAAAGAAAGAAAGGAAGGAGGAAAAGAAGAAAGAAAGGAAGGAGGAAAAGAAGAAAAGAAGGAAGGAAGAAAGAAAGAAGCCTTGAAACTCTAAAGCTCTCAAGCAAATCCCGAAGGATCAAGAAAGCAATCTTCGTTCTTCGTCAAATCCACCTTCAAGATCAAGCCCCAACGGCCCTTGAAGAACTTCCACCAACTCAAGATCAAGCCCCGACGGCCCTTGAGGAAAGTGTTCATCGTTCATCATCCATCAACCTTCAAGATCAAGCCCCAACGGCCCTTGAAGAACTTCCACCAACGCAAGATCAAGCCCCAACGGCCCTTGAAGAACTTCCACCAACTCAAGATCAAGCCCCGACGGCCCTTGAGGAAAGTGTTCATCGTTCATCATCCATCCACCTTCAAGATCAAGCCCCAACGGCCCTTGAAGAACTTCCACCAACGCAAGATCAAGCCCCGACGGCCCCTTGAAGAAAGTGTTCATCGTTCATCATCCGTTCATCCTAAGTTCAAGCCCCAACGGCCCTTTGGATCAACAACCTCAACAAATCCACACATCCAATCGTTCTTCAAGATTAAGCCCAAAAGCCCTTGAAGATCCGCTCATCCATCAACCTTCAAGATCAAGCCTCAACGGCCCTTGAAGAACTCCCACTAACTCAAGATCAAGCCCCGACGGCCCCTTGAAGAAAGTGTTCATCGTTCATCATCCGTTCATCCTAAGTTCAAGCCCCAACGGCCCTTTGGATCAACAACCTCAACAAATCCACACATCCAATCGTTCTTCAAGATTAAGCCCAAAAGCCCTTGAAGATCCGCTCATCCATCAACCTTCAAGATCAAGCCTCAACGGCCCTTGAAGAACTCCCACTAACTCAAGATCAAGCCCCGACGGCCCCTTGAAGAAAGTGTTCATCATTCATCATCCGTTCATCCTGAGATCAAGCCCCAACGGCCCTTTGGATCAACAACCTCAACAAACTCATACACCCATTCTTCAAGATCAAGCCCAACGCCCCTTGAAGATCCATTCATCAACTGTGCATCCTTAGATCAAGCCCCGACGGCCCTTTGGATCAACAACTCATCCACAAACCCACATCGTACGAAGATAGAATCAGAGGATCAAATTACAAAGAGATTGTAACCCCAAAATCATTAATACAAAATATATATTTTGTACACGTATTCTTGTCGCTTGTTTCAGGAATTATTCGTGTTTACAAATTTGGCACGCCCAGTGGGACAATCTCTACCTCTCATCTCTATCCTCAAATCATTGAAAAACGCAAATGGCATCAAGAAAGGATCAAGCTGTTCCTGCAATCAAAGCAAAGAACAAGAACATCATCGCCGCAAGTGGCGATATTTCGGGCATCATAACCCGAAGTAAGGCAAGAGATCTTTTTGCCGCGGCTTCCGCCCCTGCATTAACTCTGTCAAAGGAACAAGAGCACCTGAGGTACGAGCCTGTGATCACCCTAGCCTCGCTAAGGGCATCAAAAGGGGAGAGCCCAAGGAAATACTCAGAGTCCCTACTCTCCGACGCTGATTCGAGCGGCAGTATAACCATGCAAGTCATGACCACGGGAGCAACTTCAATCGAGGAGCAGCTAGCTCAGATGAATGAAGCAATCGCAAAGCTCACACGAACTGTGGAAGAGAAGGACTTGCAGATTGCCGCACTTGTCAACCAACTAGATGCGCTGCCCGACGTGAAAGTCGACCCAATTGTTGGCCTATTAAAGAAAGAAGACGACGAAGAAGAGGAGCCACCAGCGGAGAAAGTTGAAGAGAAGCCGAAGCTAAACCAAGCAACGGCATCCATGGAATCTCTCTCTATCCAGCAGCTACAGGAGATGATCGCAAGCACTATCAAGACACAGTACGAAGGAAGCTCGCATGACTCCGTACTATACTCAAAGCCTTACTCCAAGAAGATTGATGCTTTGAAGATGCCAAGGGGTTATCAGCCCCCAAAATTCATGCAGTTCGATGGAAAAGGCAACCCGAAGCAACATGTCGCCCATTTCATTGAAACTTGCAACAATGCTGGGACAGAGGGAGACTACCTCGTCAAACAGTTCGTGCGTTCGCTGAAAAGTAACGCTTTTGACTGGTACACTGACCTCGAACCTGAGTCTATCAACAGTTGGGACCAGCTAGAAAGGGAATTCCTCAACCGTTTCTACAGCACTCGTCGTACTGTAAGCATGCTAGAGCTGACCAGTACGAAACAGTGGAGAGATGAACCTGTCGTCAACTACATAAATAGATGGCGCTCCTTAAGTCTGGATTGCAAAGATCGGCTTTCTGAAACCTCTGCCATTGAGATGTGCGTTCAAGGCATGCAGTGGGGACTACACTACATCCTTCAAGGCATCAAACCACGAACATTCGAGGACTTAGCCACCCGCGCCCATGATATGGAGTTAAGCATCACCCGTCATGGGAAGAAAGAACAGATCGCTGACTACAAGAATGACAAAGTTTTGGGGCCAAAGGTGGATAAGGCTACGTGGAAACCCACCAAGGAAGCAATGGCGGTCAACACAACTCCAGTCAAAATCCCTACACGAAGCAAGGCGATTCAAACCGAAGCTTTTCGTGATCAAGAGATACGTAGACGCACTTTGAAGGAGCTTGAGGAGAAGACTTATCCATTCCCCGACTCTGACGTGGTTGCCATGTTGAAAGACTTGCTTGACAAAAAGGTGATCGACCTACCTGAGTGCAAACGGCCAGAAGATATGAACCGTACTGACAATCCAAGGTACTGTAAATTCCACCGCTTCATTAGTCATCCGACGGAAAAATGCTTTGTGCTAAAAGATCTCATCATGAAGTTGGCTCAGAAAGGGATCATCGAGCTAGATCTTAATGATGTGGTGAAGACAAACTATACCACCGTCACTTCTGGCTCTTTGAACTCAAAATCTTCACCTCAACCGCTGGGGGCATGCTCCAAAACCATGTCAGTCAAATCAAGTGAAGTTGAAGGATGGACTTATGTCACTCCAAAGAAAATGCACAAGAAACATAGGTCTCCTCCACAAGTTCACCAATCGGAAAGGGGGCAAAGCAGCTACCGTCAACCTTCAAAGCTACATGAAAGTGTTGAGGATGATGAAGTTATGACACAAAGATCGTCCGTTGCCATCACAATGCGCGATTTCTTCCCCAAAGACTTCTTCAATCACTCAGTCAAGACTCCTTGCTATGAAGATTGCAAGGAATGCCCATCTAAGATCGTTTGACAAATTCAAAAAAAAGCTCCTCGTTCGCACGAGCCTAAAAGGCGACAACCAAAGCTCCTCGTTCGCACGAGCCTAAAAGGCGACAACCAAAGCTCCTTGTCCGCATGAGCATAAAAGGCGACAACAAAAGCTCCTGGCCCGCAAGAGCATAAACTGTGTACGGCAAAATCATCATCAAAATCATCATCAAAACCATCACTCGTTTGAACTACGTCATAACTTGATCCTTCCTCAACCAAGGGTACGTAGGCAACTTGAAACTTCAAAACTTCAAGTACAGTCACACCATCATAAAAAATAAAAAAAAATAAAAATGTTTGAACTACGTTTCGACTTGATCTCTTCGTTGGAAGGGTACGTAGGTAGCTCGAACGTTTAATTTTGAGTTCAGTCACATCAAAATGAGGTTGTAGTAAAAGTGACTAATGAAAGTCAATATTATTACGTTCTTTGTACAAAAAAAATTACATGTTGTTGGTTTCAAAAGAAAAAAAAAAAAAAAAAAAAAAAAAAAAAGAAAGCAAAATGTCGACAAGCCCAAAATGGTGGGCTGGATTGTTGTGTTGAGGACAAAGGCCCATATACCCAAAAGAACCGGGCCCTACTCACTCTCAAAGCCCATCCCACTTTCTCTCTCTCCCGGACGACAACCACATGGGCTGTCACCATCAACACATCCAAATCAAACGTACACACTGGTTGCTGCAAATGATGTGCTTCTTGATTCTTCTGTAGTTAAGTATAGCCCCTCAGACTGCCAGAAACCAAATCTCCAAACCTTCCAAAATACAAAACCCAGAAAGAAAAAAAAGGCAGCCCAAAGAAGAAACGAGGAAAAACCCAAGAGCTACCGTTCAAATCAACTCGAATTCGAAATCCCTAAATCAGGAGGACAAACCCGGAAAGAGGAAAAACCCAAGAGCTGCAGTTGAGATCAGGAGGAGGACAGATGGAGCAGACTCGTCCTCGTCGTCTGTATATATGCATCGAGGAGCGCAAGTATACGGATTGTGACAGGTGCCGTTACATAATCTACGCCATCGAGCTGAGCGATCTCTTAAATTGCTCCTGCAAGATTAAACCTGATGCAAGCTGTCAATCTCCCAGATGCCCCACTTGCAAAGCCAAAGCCCAGCGAGCCTACCTCCAACAGGAGTACAAAACCATGTACCACGATGACCTCACCAAGCGCCTCTCTTCCGAGCTCAGCGGCAACACCAAGAAGGCCGTAGGCCGTACTCCTCTGGATGCACGACCCCCCAACCCGCGACGCCACCGAAGTCGACTGCAGTGTACCCCTCTCAGATCTCCAGATCCGACCCTTCACCCCCTCTTCATATCAATCACCACCTCCACAAAGCTCACTGTGTAAATCCATGGCGTCCTGCAAATGGGTCCCTTCGTTTCTCACAGTGTTACTGATTCTCCCGCTTCTCAGATCTTCAACCAGTTCTCTGAGCCCGGAAGAGTTGGCCCAAATCCCGGACTCGCTCTCCAACTTAACACGGGTGAGTCGACTCGGTCTCTCTGGCAATTCGTTCTCCGACATATCAGCAAAAACATGGCTCGGCTGATGCTGTTCTTGTCCGCTGCCTTGGTCCTGGCGGCGATCAGCTGCGGGGTGGCAGCGTCGAGCTTCGATGAGTCCAACCCAATCCGATTGGTGTCCGACGCTCTCCGTGACATGGAGGAGCAAGTCGTCCAAGTCCTCGGCAGCTCCCGCCACGTCCTCTCGTTCGCCCGTTTCGCTCACAGGTTCGGGAAGAAGTACGAGAGCGCGGAGGAGATGAAGCTGCGATATGCGATTTTCTTGAAGAATAAGAAGCTGATTCGATCCACCAACAGGAAGGGCTTGTCTTACACTCTTGCTGTTAATCGGTTTGCTGATTGGAGCTGGGAAGAGTTCGCGAGGCACAGGTTGGGAGCTGCTCAGAACTGCTCTGCCACCACAAAGGGCAACCACAAGCTCACTGGTGCCGTTCTCCCTGAGTCGAAAAAAAAAAAAAAAAAAAAAAAAAAAAAAAAAAATTGGAAAGAAGAAGGCATAGTGACCCCGGTTAAAGATCAAGGTCACTGTGGATCTTGCTGGACATTCAGCACCACTGGAGCTCTCGAGGCTGCTTATGTGCAGGAATTCGGAAAGCAAATCCCCCTATCGGAGCAGCAGCTTGTGGATTGCGCTGGCGCTTTCAACAATAACGGCTGCAGTGGTGGGTTGTCATCTCAAGCATTTGAGTACATCAAGTACAATGGCGGTCTTGACACCGAGGCTGCTTATCCGTATGTTGGAGTCGACGGTGTTTACAAATTTGGCACCATCTTATTGGGTGTCTTGAGAAATTCTCCTCGATTTCATCCTTGCCGTCTCTACCGCAAGGGATGTGCTTGAAAGGTGGGAGATGGACGCATACTGCGGTGATAGCTGCCATTGGGGTGATTAAGCAGAGAACGCAGAGAGGCTTCAGTGGTGGAGGAGCAAATGGAGCTCAAACTCCAACAGTAGCTTGTTCGCTGCCCGTCAACGCTTCCACCGATTGCAGCAGCAACCATCCTTGCCGTCTTTGCCGATGTCAACTCCTCCCGCGGAGTGTTCCTTCTTCATCTCCACCAATGGAGACATTTGCAGCACTACAAAAAAAAAAAAAAAAAAAAAAAAAAACACAACGGAGATCTCACCAAAACGCAGCGACAAATCCACCAAGTCCCGAACCGTCTCCTCACGCTGCCAACAAACCTCGAGCTCGTCACCCTGGCCACCATGATCAAAATTAACGAAGAGCTTCATTGACCGCTGTCAAACGACTAGCCGGTCTTCAAACTCGACGCCTTACACTCTGCTTCAAGCTCTGGCTGCTTCTGCATCTCTGCCGTGGCTGCTGCCTTTGAATGTGATCAACAAAATCAAAGTTTGTCAACTCACACCCAAAGATCTCATCCGTCTGCTTGCCTCTGCTGCTGCCTTTGAATGTGCTCAACAAAATCAAAGTTTGTCAACTCACACCCAAAGATCTCCTCCGTCTTCTCTCGGACTCGACCTGGGTTTTCACCCACGAACTCAATCTTGCAGATGGCCTTATAAAGAAAAAAAAAAAAAAAAAAAAAAAAAGTAGCAATGATTATGCCGGGAAGCATATTTCAAAAGAAAAAATAAAAAAAAAAAAAAAGTAGTAATTATGATGCTGGGAAGCATCTTTTAAAAGAATAATAAAAAAAAATTAAAAAGAAAAAATGATGGTGCTTCTGGAGCCATGTGCAAAAAGGAAAAAAAAAATATATATATATAATAAAAAGAAAGAAAAAACAATGGTGGTGCTTCTGGCACTATCTGAAATATATATATATAAATGAACGGTGGATCAGCGCCACCGAAAGCAAAGGAAAGAATAAAAAAAATGATGATGGACGGTGATGTACATGTTTTCTCTGTATTTAGCACAATACACTAAATAAAACAAAGCATGTTCATTGATTTTCCAGAAATTACAAGTTTGTACAAAAAAAAAAAAAAAAAAAGATGGAGCTTTCACAAAGGTCGTTCACGTGAAGCCCCACTACTTGGCCAAACTCCAGGAGCAGGAAGCACCGAAGATAAATCATTCGAGGCCCCAATACTTGGTGGAACGCTTGATGACGCCGGAAAAATGTGCCTCTGGAAGAAAGACGCAAGCCTTTGACGGTCATTTTGAATGCGACCTTGAGATTCTTGCATCTCATCAAGCTTCCTCTTCATGCCCGACGAATAGTTATTTGCAAGCACATGCAAACTTCTATTCTCGTACTTAAGCTGTTTAATCTCCTGCTTAAGATCTTCCACCTCTGCCATCAATGATTCCACCTGATGGGACCGAGCAAGCAGGCGTTGGCCCATGTTGGACACAGAGCCCGCACACTGAACACTAAGAGCGAGGGACTCTTGAACGGCCAACTCATCGGACCGTCCTGACAGCAGCCTACTATCTTTTGGAGTAAGGAGGTTCCTAGCTACTATTGTAGCTGTTGTGGCGTCCTGCATCACGGAGTCTTCACCTGTAAGAGGACCGTTAGAAGATAAGAAAGAAGGACACCATACATTACCTTGAAGCGGCGCAACCGGATCACTGCTGAGACTCAATTCTAAGCTAAGGTTCGATGGGTTAGCCATTTTTCAAAGGTGTTAAAAGAGATGGGTGGATGAAGTTAAAACTCAAAAGGCCGGAGATGATTTTCAGGAATGAGCAATCTTCGAAGTGTGCATGTTAGAGGTGATCAATACCTCTATAAAAACGAAGAGGCGCTTGCTCAGAAATCGAAGGGCCGCTTGTTCAAAAGTGAAGAGACATCGCTCTGCAAATCTCAAAAGCTGGATTTTCCGGCGTAAGTTAGGCGACGCTTTCTCGGCTTTCCAGAAAACGCGTTCAACTTTGTCAAAAGATCTCCGACAAAGTTGAAAACACGTGGAGGCTGGCGACGCTTTCGCGGCTTTTCAGAGCACGGGTGCCACTTTGTCAAAAGATCACTTGGAGGTCATCATCGCAGCTACACATCTTTAGCTGACAAGCGCAAAGTTCGGCGACGCTTTCTCTGCTTTTCAGAAAACGCGTGCCACTTTGTCAAAAGAGACGCTCGTTCAGAAATCGAAGAGGCGTATTCAAAGATCGAAGAGTCGTCACTATTTCAAAAAGCCGAATTTGCGGGATCAAAACGTTTGTCGACAAGGGTAAAAGAACAGTACCACCACTTGCTATTGGGAAATCCCTATATATGTCGACCTTCATCTTTTATGGCAAGGCAAACCTGCAAACAAGAAAAAAAAAATGCCCAACTCTTCCTCACCTCCGAGAGTACACTCCCAGCAAAGCATCTCAAAATGCTTAGTTTTCTTCCTCTCCGGGAATACCCTTGCAAACAAATGACACCAAGGCAAAAGTATCTCATATCATCAAGGGCGAAAGCAAAGGTATCTCATATCATGCTTTTCCCCTATCTTTTCCTTTGCCCTTGTTCTCACCTGCCAGGACAAGGACAGAGAAAGCAATATGTCGGAACCTCCACTCAAACTTGCGCTGCCACCAAGAAGTGATGGTCCATTCAAATGCAAGGTTTGCATTCAACTCCTGCATCAGGAACAAATAGTACAAGAGAAGATGCTAAACCTGCATAAGGAAATACCACTTCTGCAAAGGGGAGCAAGTAAGGCAAGTGAAAATGATGCATTGAAGCATGTGGAGACAAGCTACAACTGCATATGCTGAGCTATCCTCTGACCCTCTTCAATACGAATTGGAGAGATTGAACAAAGAAACAGAAAAAAAGGAGTAAGCTCAGACCTTCGGGGAAGACCAAAAGAATCCTGCTGCCCAGTTCAAGAGTAGCACAAAGGAAAATCAACGATAGGGGGAGACCAAAAGAATCCTCCAGCCCAGTTCAAGATCAAGCCTCGATGGCCCTTGAAGAAATCACAAGTCCGATTCAAAATCAAGTGTTCACCACCCTTGAATCAAATTCAACTCCAGATAAAAGGAGTAAGTTCAGACCTTCGGAGGAGACCAAAAGAATCCTCCAGCCCAGTTCAAGATTAAGCCTGCGGAAAATCAACGATTGGAGGAAACCAGAAAATCTTCCAATCGAACTCAAGATCAAGCCTCGATGGCACTTGAAGAAATTTCCAGCCCAATTCAAGATCAAGCCTCGACGGCCCTTGGGTTGACATCTACATTAAGGGACTTCAAAACGCATCTTCTACACGTGACAAGCACATGCCTACGACGCGCCTTGAAGTGGGGGCATTTGTAGACATCAAAATTTCGGTGAAATGAATGTTGACCAATAATTAAAATTTCAACGTTCACGTGTCACATAAATTTTACATGTAGCGTGTGATTCAACGAAAAATCGAAATAAATTGGAAAAATCATCAAATATGACACGTGTCAATACCTGGCAGAAATGATTTATTTCATCTGATTATTTAAATCCAAAAATCAAGTTTTGGAATTCTATAAATAGGAGGCCAAGGCATTCATTTTAAAAAAAGAAAGAAAGGAAGGAGGAAAAGAAGAAAGAAAGGAAGGAGGAAAAGAAGAAAAGAAGGAAGGAAGAAAGAAAGAAGCCTTGAAACTCTAAAGCTCTCAAGCAAATCCCGAAGGATCAAGAAAGCAATCTTCGTTCTTCGTCAAATCCACCTTCAAGATCAAGCCCCAACGGCCCTTGAAGAACTTCCACCAACTCAAGATCAAGCCCCGACGGCCCTTGAGGAAAGTGTTCATCGTTCATCATCCATCAACCTTCAAGATCAAGCCCCAACGGCCCTTGAAGAACTTCCACCAACGCAAGATCAAGCCCCAACGGCCCTTGAAGAACTTCCACCAACTCAAGATCAAGCCCCGACGGCCCTTGAGGAAAGTGTTCATCGTTCATCATCCATCCACCTTCAAGATCAAGCCCCAACGGCCCTTGAAGAACTTCCACCAACGCAAGATCAAGCCCCGACGGCCCCTTGAAGAAAGTGTTCATCGTTCATCATCCGTTCATCCTAAGTTCAAGCCCCAACGGCCCTTTGGATCAACAACCTCAACAAATCCACACATCCAATCGTTCTTCAAGATTAAGCCCAAAAGCCCTTGAAGATCCGCTCATCCATCAACCTTCAAGATCAAGCCTCAACGGCCCTTGAAGAACTCCCACTAACTCAAGATCAAGCCCCGACGGCCCCTTGAAGAAAGTGTTCATCGTTCATCATCCGTTCATCCTAAGTTCAAGCCCCAACGGCCCTTTGGATCAACAACCTCAACAAATCCACACATCCAATCGTTCTTCAAGATTAAGCCCAAAAGCCCTTGAAGATCCGCTCATCCATCAACCTTCAAGATCAAGCCTCAACGGCCCTTGAAGAACTCCCACTAACTCAAGATCAAGCCCCGACGGCCCCTTGAAGAAAGTGTTCATCATTCATCATCCGTTCATCCTGAGATCAAGCCCCAACGGCCCTTTGGATCAACAACCTCAACAAACTCATACACCCATTCTTCAAGATCAAGCCCAACGCCCCTTGAAGATCCATTCATCAACTGTGCATCCTTAGATCAAGCCCCGACGGCCCTTTGGATCAACAACTCATCCACAAACCCACATCGTACGAAGATAGAATCAGAGGATCAAATTACAAAGAGATTGTAACCCCAAAATCATTAATACAAAATATATATTTTGTACACGTATTCTTGTCGCTTGTTTCAGGAATTATTCGTGTTTACAATATCACCTGTTAAGGGTTCCAAATATCTAATGATAGATGGTGAATCAAAACCCACATAAATTCTCAGTCGGCGCTGAGGTCCCATTTTAGTGCGTTGTGGTGGTGCAATAGGTACATAAACAGCACAACCAAAAACTCGTAAATGTGAAATGTTTGGCTGATGCCCAAAC